ACTGAAAGGAGAGAATGAGTTCAGTTTTCCGTCTTTCCAACTCATGCCTTTCATTTTTATACCACATTTTAATGTTCTGTGTAAGTCAAATAGCGACAAAAGTAGGGTGGGCAACTGAATATATTTATCCATCCAAAGACTTAATTAACATTTAGACTCTATATTACTTTTATTTCAGTTTTGATATATTATCCAGACTAATGTTTAGGAAAGAACAAAATTTAGAAACTTACAGAATTAAAGTGTCGTTGGTGATTTAAACACCTTGCATTTGGTTGAGTTTTTCCAGAATCCAGAAACAGACTCTGAAAGAAAGATTGGAGAATAAACTGTGCTGCCCCAAGGGAGGCACCATTGGTTTTATGTGGATTAAGTCCTGGAAATTAAACACAGAGCTTGGGTAGGTGACACCTCTCCATGTCTATTTCTGCCACCTGCCAGCCTTAGTCTTAATTCCATTTGCCTTCACTGGGTGGGTTCTTTTGGCCCAGAATCTTACAAGGCATATATGGGTTAAGAGGCATCAGCTTTAAAGGATGACTTAATACCAGGCAAGACTTGGAGATTAGGGAAAGGACCAGAGACTGTGCCCCCTTTATTTAGAATAATGGCCATCGTGGATGTGGTTGAATTATCAGCACACATTCAGCTACACCTTTTTCCTTAAAAAAAAAAAATTCCAGGGGCCATAGAGATAGTACAAGGGAGAGACAGTACAGGGGAGAGATAGTCCAGGGGCTAAGACTCTACCTTGCACACACACTGGCCTTGCCCATTCAATCTCCAGCACCACATATGGGGCCCTGAGCAGGAGCGATCCCTGAGCACAGAGCTGGGAGTAAGCCTGAGCACAGCCAAGTGCACCCCAACCCTCCCCACAAAAATTTTTCAATAAAACATTGTTTTATTTTTAGAATCCCAAGTATGAATTACATTGCAAAGGTTTTAGGAGGGTTTTTGGATATCCATTGGGACAGAACCTTGCATTCAGACAGGTAGCATGTGAAGAGCCAAGCCAGTGTATTGATGAGTACTGATGGCAGTTTCTTCAGGTGTTCAGGTCTGACCTTGTCTGGGCCGGGAGCTGTTCGTTTCTTTACTGACAAAATGGCGTGTCGGATTTCAGAAGGGAGAACGTTGGGAACAACATATCCATCCTGTGGAATTTGGCATGTCAGCAAGTGGACATGGCTATCGAAGAGATTTGAGTAGAAGTCATGGATAATCTTCTCCATTGCCGTTCTGGAGGATGTGATGGATCCATCAGGACGTCAGAGGGCAGTCATCTTGGTCTTGTAGTTGGTGAAGGACAGGCGGGCGTAAGGAATACTTTTCCCGGCTTCTGCCGCATCTACCAGTACTTCTGCTCTTCTCTCTTTGAGGTCTTCCTTGATCGCATCTCTGCACTGCTTTGCGAGCTCAGACGTTAGCTTGTGGTTGCCTGAGGCATGCGCCAAACCACGCTGGCGAATTAGCTCAAGAGTTTTCGAAGACAAGCGTTTTTGTGTGGCTATCTCTCTCTTGGCGTTCCTCGCACAATCATGGAGGTGCTGAACCAGTCGATCGTATTCCTCCTCAATGTTGTCAACAATGGCATCGTCCCATGTTGCCGCAATAGTGCCAAAGAGCTCCCAGTTGGTGGTCGTTCTGGGAGTTCTCTTTTTGAACTTTGCAGCCCTTTCTCCCCGCTCTGTGAAGTAGAATTTTGCACGAAGGAGACGGTGGTCCAATCCCATTCAGAATTTTGGTACAACAGCAACATCGGTCAGGCAAAACCGTCGATTGAATATGATGTAGACTATTTCATTGTGGAATCGTCCACCGGGAGACTCCCATGTCCAACGTTTAGATTCTGCCTTCTGGAACTGTGAGTTACCATGAATGGTCTTGGTCGACATGATGAACTCAGACAGTCACCCTGTTCGTTCCATTCTAGGCCATGGGTCCCGATGTGAAGTTCTTCAGATGATCTTCTCGGTCCTATCTTGGCATTAAAATCACCCACAATGATCTTGTAGAAGGTGTGGTCTTCTTCATAGAACTTCTCCGACTCCATGTAGAACTTCTCAATTTCTCTTTCATCATAATGAGATGTTGGTGCGTAGACAACGAAGATAGAAACTGCAGGCGGTGAGCCACATCTATTCAAATGTAAACGTCCGATTCAGGTTGTTAGGCATTCGAATGAATCAATGCTTATGGCCAAGTTTGTGTTGACAAGGACACCGACACCTTCGACACCTCTTTTATCGCATGTTCTGAGGAACAATTCTTCTCCAGTGTCAAAAACGGCATGGTGAGATTCGTGCCTTCTTGTCTCGGTCAGACCAATGATGTTGTACTTGATCATTCACGCTTGTACCATCAGGTCCTCGATGGATGCATCTGATGCTAGCATACGTGCATTGAAAGTACAGATGATCATTTTTGTCTTCCTTCATTGTGGCAGCCTAGTTCAGCCTTAAGATTTTGTCGGCCTCTTCTTTCTCATCCTTCTCAGTGCTGCCATGTCGGTGAAGCCTAGAGGGTCAGGTGAATGAGACCCATTGTAGTTACTGGTTTTGGCATATCAAATACACAACGGGTAGCTTGCCAGGTTCTTCCGTGTGGGCAGAATACTCTCGGTAGCTTGCCAGTCTTTCTGAGAGGGATAGAGGCTTTTGGGGCGACCTCTAATCGCCCTCGTAGGTGTGACCATATTTGAGCCCTATCAAATATGGTACGGCAATTCCGGAAGATGGGTATTTAGTGTCTTATGATGTGTCGCGCGGCCGCTTTGTGGCCTTTTCGGCCGCGCGGGTCCGGAAAGCGTCCTGGAGTGTGGCGGCGGCTGGGTAGTGGAAGTATTGTCAGTAGTGGAGGTCTGCCAGCGGGGTATTTATCTGGCCCAATACATCAAGATCCTCTGTGAGCTGTATTGCGGATTCACTACCAGGATCTAACCATTCTACAAAGAAGTAATCATTGATGTCAAGAGAGGGGTTCAGCAGGGTGATACCATTTCACCGAAACTCTTCAGTGCCACCCTCGAGAACATCATGCGACAACTGGAATGGGAAGGAATGGGAGTGAAGATAGATGGTCGGCAACTACACCACCTCCGCTTTGCTGATGACATTGTTTTAATAACACCAAACATCAGCCAAGCGGCACAAATGCTGACCGACTTTGACCGTGAGTGTGGAAAGGTCGGACTACAGCTGAATCTCACGAAGACAATGTTTATGAGAAACAGCCTCGTTCCTGATGCCCCATTCGCTCTCAACGGAACGACCATCTCTGAATGCAACAGCTATGTGTACCTAGGTCGAGAGTTCAACATGATAAATGACCTGGCTCCCGAGCTGCGCAGGAGGAAGAGAGCGGCTTGGAACGCCTCCAAGAACGTGGAAGAAATAGCTAAGAGGACGAAGAACCTCCGGTTCCGGGCACATCTCTTTGATTCCACTGTTCTTCCTGCATTAACATATGCCTCAGAGATCTGGGCCCTACGTAAACAGGATGAGAATGCTATTCGGGTCTCCCAAAGAGGAATTGAAAGAGCTATGCTTGGAATATCACGTTTCACTCAAATGAGAGAAAGAATCCGGAGTTCCGACATCCGTTGACGATCAAGAATCAGGGACGCTGTCTCATTTGCCAAGGTGTCAAAAATCAGATGGGCTGGTCACGTAATGAGATTTAGAGACGACCGCTGGACTAGAGCTGTTACCGACTGGATCCCACGGGATGTCAAAAGACCGTGTGGCCGCCCACCTACCAGATGGTCAGACTTCTTCATCAAGATCATGAACGATCGGTTTGAGTCTCTTCATGTTCCCAGAGCGAACAGATGCCATTGGGCTACACTAGCACGTGACAGGGACAAATGGAGACATTACTGGCGCCCGCTCGAGCAAATCGACGAGTAACGGGAAGTTAAGTGATTAAGTGATTGGATATCAGGACTTTGACAAGAGAGCATCACCTAGAATGATTTGTTTGTTTTCCATAGTAATTAAAGTTGTTCACTTTGAGATAATTCTGGACCAATTTATACCATCATTAATAATATTGGTGGGTCCTTCGAGATAGTACATTGAGTGAGGAACTTGCATGTAGCCAACCTGAGTTTTATTTACAGCATTCTGTTTGGTTCCTCGAGGATCGCCAGGAGTATTTCCTGGGTGCAGAGCCAGGAATAATCCCTAAGCACCAGCAGGTGTGACCCAAAAACAAATCAGAAAGAGATATCGTCAGAAAGAGAGGGACAGACATAGAAAGATTGCACTCTTTTGTGGAATATAAAGTAACAGAATGGGAGACTTACACCCAAGAATAGTAGAGATGAGTACCAGGAGGATTGCTTCACAGTTTGGAAGCCAGTCTCACATGCTGGAGGGAAAGGCAGCTCAGATAGAGAAGGGACCACCAAGTAAAGGGTTCTTAGAGAGCCCGCTCGGGATAGGAGAGGCGTTCTGAAAGTAGCCTATAGACAAAACGTGAAAGCCACTCAATACCTCTATTGCTAACCACAACACCCAAAAGGAGAAAGAGCAAAATGGAATGCCCTGCCACAGAGGCAGGGTGGGGTGGGGGCAATGGGGTGCAATGGTGGTTTGGATACTGGGATCATTGGTGGTGGAGAATGGGCACTGGTTGAAGGATGGGTACTCAAACATTGTATGCCTGAAACGTAAACACGAAAGTTTATAAGTGTAACTGTACCTCATGGTGATTCAATAAAAAAATGAAATAAGGGGCTGGAGCAATAGTACAGCACGTGGGGCATTTGTCTTGCATGCAGCTGACCCAGGTTCGATTCCCAGCATCCCATATGGTCCACCGAGCACCGCCAGGAGTAATTCCTGAGTGCGTGAGCCAGGAGGAACCCCTGTGCATCGCCAGGTGTGACCCTGAAAGCCAAAATAAATAATAAGAGTTAAAATTTTTAAAAAAGGAAGTACATGAAATTGTATAAAATAGGTCTGAACACCGCTCTCCCTGGTTTTCTTCCTCAGGTTTCGAATATCCAGGCGAGAACTGTCGTGCTGTCCTGGGCGCCCCCTGTTGGACTCTCCTGTGGCCCCCACAGTGGCCTTTCCTTCCCCTACAGTTACGAGGTTGCCTTATCCGACAAAGGACGCGATGGAAAGTACAAGATCATCTACAGGTAGAGTATGCCTCTGGGATTTCCTCCGAAACTGTGAAGCTGGGATCATTTGGGGCAATAGAAAAACCAAGGAAAACTTGAAGAGCTTGGCCCTTTTCCCTCTCCAAGTGAACTTTAAGGATTAGTGATAATTATAATGTCAAGAGTTTAGTCCAGGGACTGGCGTGATAGCACAGCAGATAGGGCGTTTGCCTTGTACATGGCCAACCTGGGTTCGATTCCCAGCCTCCCATATGGTCCCATGAGCACTGCCAGAAGTAACTCCTGTGCATTTCTGGTGTGACCCAAACAGCAAAAAATAAAAAACAAAAATGAATTTAAAAAAACAATCATTCCATTTCTTTCTCTTTTTTTTTTTGTAGTCTCACATCCAAGGATATGAAATGAGTTTATTCCAGTTCCGCAGTTCTGCTCCCTATTACCACCTGTTTTATTTTTTTTTTCTTCCAAGAACTTGTGTTTATTTGAGGCCCCTGGGTATTCAGTTCTTAAGTCACAGGGAAACTATTGGATGGAGGAAAACAGGAAAGGAAAACTAAGATGATCAAATGAAGACTTAAAAGACATAGTAAGCAACGCTCAAGGCACCGAGTTTCAGTGTGAACTTGAAGCACAAAGCCAGGAGGTCAAGGACAGAGATGTGGTTAGAACAGATTGGACTTTTCTCATTTGATTTTATTAGAAAGTTAATTTTCAACCTGCAGATATACCTGGGAAGTTATGTCTTTGTAATTCAAAACTTCTGAGAGTAATTTTGATCAGCAAATCAAAGGGCAAGAGGATAGAAAAAGACTTTGAGAAGGTAGAAGTGAAAAGTGCCCAAATATATTTTTTCTTGAGTCGACTAGCTACAACAGTTTCCTCCTGAAAATAACTTCTTGTCACATTCAACAAGTGCTATAAATTCCATACAACTCGTGTTTAAGGCTAGCATGAAATTTTAGCTCAGGATGTGTAATTCTTAAAATTTTAAGCTCCATTTTTAAAAATTTAATTAGTCATTATATTAGCGTGATATGCAAAAATCAAAAAGCAAAAAATAAAAAATATGATATGCAAAAAAATAAAAATAAGTAATTTTTTAAAAAAAATAACCATTCCATTTCTCTCTCTCAAAAAAAAAGAGTTTGGTCCAGAGCTGTTGTCAGAAATGACTTTTGCAGAGCTCTTTGATGTTGGCAAAATAGTTCTTAGTTTTATGTTAGCTTGTCAGTAGAGAGTTAAAGAAAATTTTCTATTGATGTCTATTAAAGCAAAAAAAAGTGAATATGGCTTAGTTTTGCACTTATAAATCATCTCTTTTTTGACCCACATCTTTTTCCAGTCTGGTTTTTTAAAATTCTGCAATAAAATCCTTCTGTTGCACTCTTCTTACCCTTCATAGCAGTTTTTCTAACCTGTAGGAATGATTTGAGCAGTTCATTGTAAGGCTTCCTTAATTGATCAGGCGTTTCGCACACAGAATAAGGGGATTATCTCTTCCGTGTTATGAACTCCCGACTATTAGCCATTCAAGTGAAAGGTGTGTTCCCAATGCGATTTTAAAAGTAAGGTCTTTCTCCTTTGTAGTCGTGAGCACTCAGCTTTGCAGGCAGGAACTCATCGCAGTCATTTGGAACTACCTGACCTCCCTAGGAGTGACCCAGGAGTAGCGGCTGGCCAGGTGCTCTGTGTCCAGGCCACGTGAACCTGCCGTGCCTCTGCCAGATAGCACAGTTTTCTCCCCTCTTTGCACTGTCTTCGGCGCTGCAGAAATTGCATCTCACTAGTCCCACTCCTAAGGGGGACAGTCCTTGATGATTTCTCAGCTATCAAAGCAGGTCTGACAGTTTTCAATGCTTTGGGACCTGAGATGTAGTGTTACTCAGCTCAGTGGTGTCCTGGCGACCACGCTATGCCAGGCGTCAAACTCTGGGCCTCACGGATGCATAGCAGGTACTCTGGGAGGTATCTCTCCGCCCCCATGGCTACTTCTTTGTTGTTGTTGTTGCAGAGTGAAGGCACAGGCAGCAGTGCTCAGGGGTTGCTCTTGGCTCTGTCCTCAGGCATCACTCCTGGCAGGCTTGAAAGACCATATGCGATGCTGGGGCTCGGATTGAATACCCAGTCCACTGTATTATCACTTCCCCGCCCCTTGCCTTCTCAGCCCCAAATCCTAATTCTTCCCTTGCTCTGGGGATATGTCATTGTTTGAATAAAGCATAAAGGAAGAAGCCTTGCTCCCCTCTCTCCACTCACTGTGCTTCTGTGGTCCTAGCCTGGCTCCTGCAGGAAGCCCCTCAGAGATCTCAGCATCTCCCCTCTTGCTCTCTTTGCTCTCCTCCGACCCACCCACACACTACAGAAATAGCAGGCGGTCCCTGTCACTCCTGAGAGAAGACAACTCTCCCACATGCCTCACCAGACTGCGAATTAAATAGTTCTCTTACAACCTGGTCTCACAACTGTTTGATCCCATTTGAATTGTCCGAATGGTAATAATACGGGACTTTATCACATAAGCCTCATTCCCCAGTCTCTGTGTAGGGTGGCCCCTGGGGTCAGGGACCAAGAGGCTGGCCAGGTTCCTGCAGAAAAACCCAGTCTGATTCACCCATTCCCTAACATTTGAGTTTGATTTTCAACAGTTGGTGAAAATAGGTAAATTTTATAAAACATTTTTATGTTGTCACGGTCCTCCCGTTGTTCATCGATTTGCTCGAGCGGGCCCAGTAATGTCTCCATCATGAGACTTGTTGTTACTGTGTTTGGCATATTGAATGCATCACGAGGAGCTTGCCAGGCTCTGCTGTGCGGGCGAGATCCTCTTGGTAGCTTGCCAGGCTCTCCGAGAGGGGCGGAGGAATCGAACTCGAGTTGGCCATGTTGGCTGCGTGCAAGGCAAACGCCCTACCACTGTGCTGTCATCTTTTCTAATTTAAACTGGTCCTGCCCATTTGGACTCTTTAAACATACAGTGTAGGTCAAATAGCTGAGCTGCACGCAGTGGACACGGGCTTTTGTTTGAAATCATTTCAGGTTTACAAACCATTGCAGAATAGAGACCAGGACCTCCCTACAGTAGCTCTGTAGCTGATTTGCCTTAGGGCTGGAGCTTCGTGATCCCCCCTGCCTTTTCCTCTCAATCGCCTTTCTTCCCATTTGTTTTATAGATGATTAACCTTTACCATGAATACTTCAGTCTATTTCCTATAAAATAGTGATATTTTCTTATGTAGCCACAATGTAATTGTCAGCTGATTGCGTTTACCCTGATATCTTCATTCTATCGTCCATATCCCCAGTTTTGTTAAGTGATCTAAATGATGCCAATTATGTAGTATTTTCATCTGTAAAGTCAGATCTCACACTTTGTTGCTATGTCCCTTTAACCTTCTTTAATTTGAAACTGTCCTCCCGTTGTTCATCGATTTGCTCAAGCGGGCCCAGTAACGTCTCCATTGTGAGACTTCTTGTTACTGCGCTTGGCATATTGAATACTCTCGGTAGCTTGCTGGGCTCTCCGAGAGGGTTGGAGGAATCAAACCTGGCTCGACTGGGCTGGCTACGCGCAAGGCAAATGCCCTACTGCTGTGCTATTCGAAACACTTTTCAGAATTCCTTTACTTCTATGAATGTAGCCATGTACACATCCATATGCATATCCCTTACCTTAAATTGTTTGAGGTGCAAGGGATTGAACCCAGGGCCCTCACATATTTGAGGCATTACCCACAGGACTTAAAGTCTTTGACTGGAATGTTCCAAAATTACAACTTCCAATTATACAAATATTTTTGTTGTTGTTTTTGGATGGTACCGGGTGGTACTCCAGGCGCTCTCCTTGCAGTTCTGGGGGGACCATGTGAGGTGCTGGGGATTGAACCCAGGTCAGCTGTGTGCAAGGCAATCTCCTTACGCAATCCTTACCCATCTCTCTGACCACTATATAAATGATTTAATTGAGTATGAGAGCTCTGTGTTGGTCTGTGGGGAAGCAAATTAAGGTTTCTTCAAGAACTGAGATGACAAAGTAAGCAGTCAGGACTCTTGCCAAGGTGAATCTGGGAGCTACCTCTAGCTGACAGCTGGTACAGTTATTAACTTACACTCATCCATCTATTTGATTGCTCTACTTACTTTTCTTGTGTAAAACTGTCTTTATATTTAAGAAGTAATAAGACCTTTCTGGATTTTATTCATGAATTAGCCTTGCCATTTTCCAGATCTAGGAATGACATAATGAAAAGGAATCTTAGTTTTCTAGTCCAAAGGAACAGTAATACCAAATAAGAAAATTTATTCTGCTTTGGGATTGAATCAATATAACAGCTCATGAATCATTACTGGTTCACGATTGTGAGATCCAAATGCAAAACCTGTTTTACTGTTGAAGATGAATGATTAACTAATGAATTTTTCTTTGCAGTGGAGAAGAATTAGAATGTAACCTGAAAGATCTTCGACCAGCAACTGATTACCATGTCAGGTGAGTTTGGATATGAAAGCAGGAACTGCACTGCAGAGTTCCACTTGCTAATCTAAATCGAGTTTGCTTTTCAAAATCTTTGTTTCCAAATCCTGTTCCAGTAATACTGAATTTTTTAAAAAAATTTTTAAAAAGGGGCTGAAGCAATAGCACAGTGGGTAGGGCATTTGCCTTCAACACGACTGACCAGGGTTCAATTCCCAGCATCCCATATGGTCCCCTGCCAGGGGGAATTATTCAGTAATTCCTGAGTGCAGAGCCAGGAGTAACCCCTGTGCATTGCCAGGTCTGACCCAGAAAGCAAAAAAAAAAAAAATTTTTTTTAAAAAGCACTTGGTTCATGGAAATTACCTGACCAGGCATTGTAGCTCCTTGACTCACTGTCTATTCACTAATATTTTGTGCTTAAGGAAGCAGTAATTAGCAATACACAACAGTGTTTCTTCTTTTTTAATATATATATATATTTTATGAATCACCATGAGATGTACAGTTACATCAATTTTGTTCAAGCGGGCCCAGTAATGTCTCCATTGTGAGACTTGTTAGTTTGGCATATTGAATACATCACGGGTAGCTTGCCAGGCTTTGCCATGCAGGCGAGATACTCTCGGTAGCTTGCCGGGCTCTCCAAGAGGGGCGGAGGAATCGAACCCGGCTCTGCCGGGCTGGCTGTGCGCAAGGCAAACGCCCTACCTGCTATGCTATCACTCCAGGCCTGACTCTTCTCCTTTTTATGTAACTCTTCCTCCTTTTTATGGTGTTTGGGTTGGTCATATGCATGGTAAACAGCCTACCTATTGTACACTCTGGCCCCCAAACGCTTCTGGTGATAGAGAAAGTAAAAGAGTTTTAAACACTTAATTTTAAAAATCAATTTTAATTTATATGGTGTCTGTGAACTAAGATTCTGTGGTAATGTTATGTTTTTATTCTTACAAAAATTAATTTTTCAGTAGTTTTTAACTAAAGACCACACATGTATAAACTGTATTCTGACTAAACACCTAAAATTCTTCTCATGTTGCAAGAAGACCTTTACTTTTTTTTATCCATAGTTGAGTTTTTTTTATTTATTTATTTTTTGTTAAGGAATCACCGTAAAGTACAGTTACAAACTTAAGAACTTTCGTTGTTGCATGGGGCTGGAGCGATAGCACAGTGGGTGGGCATTTGCCTTGCACGCAGGCCCACCCAAGTTCAATTCCCAGCATCCCATATGGTCCCCTGAGCACCACCAGGGGTAATTCCTGAGTGCAGAGCCAGGAGTAACCCCTGTGCCTTGCCGGGTGTGACCCAAAAAAGCAAAAAAAAAAAAGAACTTTTGTGTTTGCATTTCAGTCATATAATGATCATTTACCTATCCCTCCACCATTTTTTATATTTTTTAATGAAACACTGTGAGATAGAATTATAGACTTACACACTTTCGTGATTACGTTTCAGTTATACAGTGGTCTGGTACCTCCACCAGTGACTATTCTCCATCACCAGTGTTCCCAGTATCTCTCCCGCCAACCCCACCCTATCCTTCACCCCACCCCCACCTCTGTGGAAGACACATTCCTTTTTACTGTCTCTCTCCTTTTAGGTGTTGTGGTTTGCAATACAGGTAGTAAGTGACCATCATGTTCGGTCTATAGTCTACTTTCAGCATGCAAGAAGACCTTAATCTTAAAAGGCATAAAGGTTTTCAGATAAGTAAAACAAATAGTGAATTAACTGCGGCAAGAATTTACCCAATTTGGCAAAAATACAAGCTTTTATAAGCTGAATATGTAGTCTGAAATCACTGCTGCGATTTTTTCCCAAAATTTCTACTGTGGCTGCTGAAAGGTAGGTTAGCTAGTCCTAAGGAGAAACTCAACCAACCACAAACATCTGAGGAAGATAGTAGTAGCCAAATGTTACAGAGCTCATTTGATTATTTAAAGATACTTCCATCTATCCATTTGTGTTTTTATTTAGATAGGTTTGTGTATGTCGACCTTAATCGGTATTTTATTGAAATTGATTTTTATTTTACTTAAAAGTTCATTAAGCTAGCCAGAAATGTTAACTGTAATAATATACGTAGAGCTGAATTGACAGCAGTGGGCTAAGCAAATGCTTTACACACAGAGGTCCAGGTTATGTCCCGCACTACATGGTTCCCCAACAACTGCAAGATAGGATGCACCCCACAAAAATCCCTTAAGATTCTATGTGTAGTAAGTTTCCTTTCTTCAAATGTGTACATGAAAATTATGTAACAAAATTACAGGCATCGATCACACATTCTTTATTGTACTTCCCAAAGGTTACTTCGTACCACATTTATTTAAACCATTGTTATTATTATTTTTAAATAATCCTTAATCTTTTATTTATTTATTTTTGCTTTTTGGGTCACACCCGGCGATGCACAGAGGTTACTCCTGGCTCTGAACTCAGGAATTACTCCTGGCGGTGCTCAGGGGACCATGTGGGATTCTGGGAATCGAACCCGGGTTGGCCACGTGCAAGGCAAACGCCCTACCCACTGTGCTACTGCTCCATCCACCACATTTTTATTTTTGATGGAATGGTGGCAGAGTAACCTAATAGCTATAATATTGACATATATATTACATGTAATATACAATGTATATTGTATGTTTTTTTTTAAGATGAGTTGTAGTCAGATTGTGATGTAAATTAACTGTTCTAACTTTGGCCAATCCATAGAATCCTTCAAACAATTTTCATATTTAGGGACAAATTCAGCTTATATCTTATTAGCTGCACTATTTAAAACTAAGTTTAAAGCAAGGCATTTTCTATTGATTCATAAAAGACACATCTGCTTAGCTTTTGTTTAGATGAACTCTTGCAACCATACCCTCTGGTTTAAATGAAACTTTGGGTGTTGAGTTAACTGTGTCTTCAGCCCAGTCACATTAAACTTTTCACATAATCTGCACAAATAAAAAGATTTGTATTTTTTATGAAGCTGAGATGATAATAGAAATAGATTAACCATACTTGCAAGCACTTGATTTAACAATGAACCAGAAAATGTAACACCACATAGTGAGTTATTTGAATATTCTCTTCTAAGTCATTGTTAACATGTTTCCTTTTTCCCCCGTCTTTAACAGTTTGTTACTGTTTTATTGATTTCCTGCTCCTTCATGAGGTGATAATACCCTTTTTTAAGAAATGTCTTGTCATAAACAGTCTTCTATTATTTACTAGTCTTCCATTATTTTCTAGGCAACTGTTTCCTTTTATTACTTTTAACTCTAACAAAGTCTAAGACGACTTGAGATCCTTTGCTCATCAATTCTTTTTACTGCCTGGTCTCATGAATACCTTGGATTCTGGGGCTGTGAATGAATTGTTTCTCTCTTATAATGAGAATAGGGGCATGAGGTGATTGCCATTGGATCCAGACTTTCTCCTGACATAGCTGGAGCCCCATACTCGTGGCTTCTATGACATGACACATAGGTGGCACTCTACATGGACAATCTAAGGTACCAAGTCTTTGGTCTAGCATACAATTTTTCCAGAATATTCTGTAACACTCTGGAGTTTATAGAAGATTCTCCCTTTTGGTTTATGGTATCTTTCAAGCCATTTTTCAGAACCCCTCTCCTAATGGTAGTATATATAATCCAGATTTTGGTTGTTTTATTGCTTTTTATGTTGTGGTCATGGTGCTGGGAGTCAGGTTAACAATTTCTGCTACTCTGAGGCTAGTGGATGCCAGGTATTGAGTCCAGGACGATATAGATTCAAGACATGTCTCTACCATTTGAGTCACAATTCTGACCCTCATATTTTTGCCTTGCCTAGATTGTTCTTTCGCTTCCTTTCCTTACATACAGTTCTTCTTTTTTCAAGAGTTTGATTTCTTTTCCTTAAATGACTTTGACTGGAGTGATAGCACAGCAGTAGGGCGTTTGCCTTGCACGCAGCCAACATGGCCTACCCGAGTTCGATTCCTCCGCCCCTCTCAGAGAGCCTGGCAAGCTACTGAGAGTATCTCGCCCGCACGGCAGAGCCTGGCAAGCTCCCCATGACGTATTCGATATGCCAGACACAGTAACAACAAAGTCTCCAATGGAGACGTTACTGAGCCCGCTCGAGCAAATGACTTTGACAAGCCACCCTGATGTAAGAATTTAAAATGTGAACTAATGGCACTATCTCTTATGAGTTTCATAGGCAAGCCACTTAAACGTCTTTGGACTAGGTTTGTCATTTATAAAGGAAGGGTAGTATTTATAACAGTCTCAGAAAAATGGTGTGAGAGCAAATAAATATAGGTATGAAGATGTTAGAAATCAATCATAGATTATATCATTTTTATGCACCTGATGAAGCCAGCATATTATAATCAACCTAATGGAAACCTGTATGAAATATGTCTCATAAAGTATGTCAATTTTTTGTACATTTGCTATTCTTTTCCCCAGTGTTGTTACAGTCTTTCCACGCTCTAAAAATAAGGCTGCATTAGATGGGTTCCTTAAACATATATGTAGTTAGACCATATCACTGTTTATTGAGATAAAGATAATTGGCACTTAGAGTTTCTAAAAGTGGAAGCTGAATTGGCATTCTAAAAGTTTTGGTTCCCTTGGTTAAAGAAACATCTACACAGTGGAATACTATGCAGCTGTCAGGAAAAATGAAGTCATGAAATTTTCCTATAAATGGATGGACATGAAGAGTATCATGCTGAGTTGAAATGAGTCAGAAGAAAGGGACAGATATAGGATGGCTGCATTCGTTTGTGGTATATAAAACTTAAATATATTGCAGAAGAGCCCGGCAAGCTACCGAGAGTATTGGATATGCCAGACACAGTAACAACAAAGTCTCCAATGGAGACGTTACTGGGCCCGCTCGAGCAAATCGATGATCAACGGGAGGGCCTTTACCTTTATATTGCAGAAGAATAATATCCATGGCTAGGGGGTTGGAGGACTAACCCCTAACGTGGTTGGAACTAACCACATGTATGTGTGGGG